GCTTCTTTATCGATTACACATCGAAGGAGAGGGGCGCTAAACCCTCGCTTATACAACTGATCTCCAATAAGTGTGTAACGAGTAGCTCTAGTTCGTAGGGTTCTTGCCTCGACTTTGTCGTTGGGCAAGGTCCTGTTTCGGAGATATTGAATGATAGGGGTCATCCAGGAGACTGACTCGGTCACATTCACAGCCTGTTCAGGCGAGCTGATATTTGGGGCCTCTATGAACCGAATAAGAATGCTCTCTGGCGCATCCGAGTCTAGCGATAAGGCTATCTTTGCCAAAAAATCCGCGATAGAATTGTTGTCTCTAGGGATCTAAGTGATCGTGAAGTGTCTAAATGGCTCCAGTGCAGCCTTAGCTTTCTTCAGATAGCCGGTCATGTTTTCTTCCTTAGCCTGGTACTCCCCCAAAATCTGGTTGATAACCAGCATGGAGTCTCTATGGATGCTGATCGCGGTTGATCCCATTTCTCTTGCCAACCGCAATCCAGCGAGTAGAGCTTCATACTCGGCCTCATTGTTGGTTGCTTTGAACCCGAAACGGAGAATGCTATGAATGCGAGTCCCTTTGGGACTTAGGAGAAAAAGGTCTGCCCCGACCCTTTTCCTGTTCGATGACCCATCAATATAGAGACTCTAGGTCGATAGGTTCTGAAGAGCTTCCTGGGTGACTTCGTTGGCTTGTTGCTCAGATTCCTTCATTGGATGATATGAGAATTTTGAGATAAAATCGGCAACAGCCTGTCCTTTGATGGTTGCCTTCGGTCTGTATTACAGATCGAACTAACTTAGTTTTAAAGCCCACTTGAGCAATTTACCCGATACCTTTGGCTTCTGGAGGACTTGTTTGAGCGGGTAACTGGTCATTACATGGATTGTGTAGGTGTGGAAGTAAGGTCGCAACTTTTTGGAGGCGATCAGTAGGGCATAAGCCAATCGTTCCATTTTCGGATGCCGTATCTAGTAGACGCTTGCTCGCACAATAAACTGGCCATTGAACCATGTTCTCTTCCCGAACTAAAGCTACACTGACCGCGTACTGAGAGACGGACAGATACAGGAGGAGGATTTCTTGTGGTAGGGCTTGGACAGAAGTGGTGGCTTTCCGAGGTGCTCTTTAATGCTCTGAAATGCCTGTTTGTACTCGGGAGTCGACTCAAACTTCTTATTGGCCCTGAGTATATTGAAGAATGGCAAGCAGCGATCTGTTGCCCTCGATATGAAGTAACTGAGTGTCGCTATTCGCCCGTTGAGACTTTGAACTTGCTTTCGGTTGGTCGGGCTTTTCATGTCAATGAGAGCTTGGATTTTCTTGGCGTTGATCTCTATTCCCGTCTGGTTAACCATGTACCCCAGAAATTTTCCTGAAGAGACTCCGAACGAACATTTGAGGGGATTGAGCTTCATTCTGTACTTCCGAAGTATGCCGAACATCTCAGCGAGATGTGCTATGTGATCAGAAGCAACATGCGATTTGATTAGCATGTCATCAACATAGACTTCCATCGATTTCCCGATCTGTTCGGAAAACATTCGGTTAACCAGTCGCTAGTAAGTTTCTCCAGCATTTTTCATGCCGAAGGGCATAACCCTGTAACAATACAGCCCCCGATCTGTAACGAATGAGGTATGCTCTTCATTCAACGCATACATCAGAATCTAATTGTATCCCGAGTACACGTCCATAAAACTCAACAGCTTGTGCCCGGAGGTAGCATCAACAAGCTGATCAATCCTTGGCAGGGGAAAGTTGTCTTTCGGACATGCTTTGTTGAGGTCGGTGAAGTCAACGCAGGTTTGCCATTTACCGTTGGGCTTCTTTACCAAAACCGGGTTGGCAACCCAGCTCAGGTAGAGTGCCTCTCGGATGGATCCATTCAGAAGGAGATTATCTACCTCGACCTTCAAGGCAACGTATCGCTCCGGATCTATTGCGCTTTTCTTCTAGCAGACCGGCTTGGCCTTACTATTGATGTTCAAGGCATGGCAAATGACATTTGGGCTGATCCTGGCCATGTTGGCATGTGTCCATGCGAACATATCAATATTTTCTCCGAGGAAGCTGGTCAGATCGCTGGCGAGGTAGGGGTTGAGATTGCTTCTAATCCTCAACACTCAGCTCGGCGCGCTCTGGTCGACTGACACTTCAGATAAATCTTCAACCAGCCCACTGGAAGGACATTCTTGGATACGAGGATCCATATTATCCTCAGCTGGGCCAGGTTTTGGTTTGATCCGGTTGATCGCTATCGCCTGTTCAGGAATGCCATGTAGAGTGTCTTTTCCCCTGCACGCCATCTGCACTGCCCTTACATAGCAGTCGTGAGACGCACGCTAAGATCCGCTTACTTCCCCTATCCTCGTCAGGGTGGAGAACCTCATCTTGAGATGGTAAATCGTGTTGACTGCTTTAAAGTTTCTCAGTAGAGGTCGCCATATGATGCCATTGAAAGCGGACGGGCAGTCCATTATTAAGAACTCAATGATCTTGGTCTCCTCGTCAGAGTCACCCAATGTGACCGAGAGTGAGATCGTCCCCTTAGGGATTAGGTGATCCCCGGTGAAACCATATAAATGGATGGAGGCAGGCTTCAGGTCGGCCTCATTTAGTTTCATTCTTTCAAAAGCTCGTTGGAACAGTGCACTGGCCGAAGGGCCGAGGTCGTGGCGGTTGAGCACCGCCATAGAGTTCTCAATACGGAGGTATTTCTTCGTAAGGTTGTAGAAGCGGGTGAGGGAAACATCGTCCTCTAATTGCAGCTCTTTCCACAAATCTGTTTGTGGACGAACTCCCGCGATGATGAGAGTCCGCACAGACTCTTCGGGAGTGTGAGCTACTTTATTGAGCTCCTTATGGAACCTGTCGATATAAGATTGGAGGGATTCATCCCTTTCTTGCCTTATGTTGCTGAGGTAGCTCAGAAGTATTGAGAACTTCCTGTTCGCTTGGAAGTGTCTCAGGAATGTCGAGCTCATCTGAGGCCACGAACTGACTGATCCTGTTGGGAGCAACCTGAACCATCGCTTGGCATGTGAAGTTAGAGTTACTGCCAGGCAACGGCATTTTGCCAAGTCAGAGACTTGGTGGAGTTCCATCAAGTCGTTGAATTCGTACAGATGATCCTGCGGATCAGAATTTTCATTGAATGCTCACATATCAGACATTCTGAATCTGGATGGGAGAGAGGCGGCTAACACAGCCGGAGAAAGGGAGAAGCCTCTACGACCTGCCCTTGTTCGTCTCGTTGAGCTTTTAGCTGATCTAGAGCTCGCTACAGCTCCTCAATCTGAGGTAGCGGAGCTGCCTGGGGATCACTTTCCGCAATGTGGGTTCGACCTTCACGATTGCGGTTTAGGAAAGACTATAGGTTTGATTCCTTCTCGCCTCGGTCGATAGTTTCGGCCAATCTCGACACATGCTAGCTAGAGTCATGTGATGGCGCTGCATGGTTCAGGGAACCTTCCTGACCTCCGCGGTGGTACGAACTGACCCGCAGATGGTGGGAACTTCCCGCACGACAACGATCAGAATCGTCATTTTGGTGATAATGGGAATCTCCCCACCTTGCACTTTTGTGGGAGTGCTGGCGCGACATGGCACGGGACGGCTCAGGTTGTAACATCTCACCGAGCCTTAACGCCACAGGTATTCTACCCGGGGCGTGGTCGGTGTTGGCCGGCCCCTCGGAGCCTCTAGGCCCGCTGTGCGCCACTTGCTTTCCCTTTCTTTGACGCGCTGCAGTGTGCGCAGCATGGGCTATTGCCCTTTTCCGCGCTTTCATGCGACCTGCAGGCGTTTTTGGCGGTGGCACCGCCTCATTCGATTCGGGTGGCACCACCCAATCCAACTGGTCTAGCCTTTGGATAACCGTTTGGAGAGTATTGTTGAACCTCTCTAGGTAGCTCATGATGGCTGGGTCAAGCCGTGAGCTTGAAGGGATATCCCTCACGGTATTTTGTGAGACTGAGGGCACCTCGGGAGAAGTGTCCTCTTGTACCTGGGGGATCTCCTCATCACCATGATTGGTTCGCTCAGATTCAAATCGGCGAGCCATTTGCTGTAGTGGGATCGATTAGTCAGAGACTGAGGGCACCTCGGGAGAAGTGTCCTCTTGTACCTGGGGGATCTCCTCATCACCATGATTGGTTCGCTTAGATTCAAATCGGCGAGCCATTTGCTGTAGTGGGACCGATTAGTCAGAGATCCTCCTGATGAAGAACAAGTACTAAATCGGGACTGTTGATATTTGATTTTGACACCAACTAATCGCACGTGGGAAATGCTGAGCTGACTCAGAAGACACACGTGTATATGAGAATATTGGATTAAGTAAGAGATGAAGAACAATGTTTAAAGTGGTTCGGATGCTTAAACAAGCGAACCCTACGTCCACTGATATTGTATTAATATGTGAGATCAGGTCGCGACTATCGAGCTGATTTATAGCTTTGAGAAAGAGAGAGAGAGAGAGAGAGAGAGAGAGAGAGAGAGAGAGAGAGAGAGAGAGAATTTGCTATTCTAGAGTAAAATTAGCTAATCCAACAAACGGGAGAAGAGCCCTCTATTTATAGTGGGATGAATTGAGGTAATGATTACTGAATCTGTGAGTGGGTCAGATTTCCGTGCAAATCCTTTTTTGCGTCCTGTTGCTCACCTGCTCAAGTGATTTCCTCAATTTGTATAGGGATTGGACACGTGGACCGTTTCTAGCCTTTCGCCAATCTGGCGCACACCCACTGCACTAACAAGAGCATACCGCTTGCGTTAGTGTGCGACATGGCTGCGTCTGAATGGCTGTAGAACCTACCTAAATTCTGACCGCCCATGCTGACAAGGCTTAGCATCAACCCTACTTTATCAGGCATAACAGAAATTAAATAATTCTTGATACATTCTGTTAACAGACTCATCTTTCAGAGTAAATGGCAAGAAGGGGAAAACGGCAGCGCTCTGCACAACCCCAAGAGGTGGTAATTTTCTGGTTCTGAGATCCAATGATTTATTTTAAGCTGATTTTGTGTTTATTTTTCCATCAGTTGGATGCTTCCACTGAAGGGGAGGATCTGATAAGTAAACTTCCGGACGATACTCTTGTTGATATTATATGTCGATTGAATCTTGAGGAAGCTGCAAGGACTAGCAGTCTTTCGAGTAGATGGAAGCATTTGTGGAATTTTAGCACCGTCCTTAACTTTGCTGCTCCAAGGAAGCTCTGGAAGTTTCCGGTGATTACATTGTTATTAACGAGAGCATATCTTTACACATCCAGTATAGAGAAACATAAAACTGAAATAGATGAAAGAAAGAACAGGTACATCAGTTGGGTGAATAAAGTTTTAGAATTGCATAGAGGTTCAAGCATAAATGAGTTTAGAATATGTTTTGAATTGGGTGGTTCTCATGAAACGGTAATTACTGATTAGATTAACACAGTTATAGCAAAGAGGGTTCAAAAGCTTGAGTTGAATTTGGAACGATGTTTGGGAGGTAGTGGGAAGAAATATACATTTCCACAAGAGTGGAATAACATCCTTGAAACTCCCCATGGTTTATCTGGTCTCAAATCTCTAAAGTCTCTTTCTTTAGTTGATGTGTGTGGTACCCGAGAGACTTTGGAGATTTTTATTTATAATTGTCCACTTCTTGAGCAGTTACGGGTGGAAAACTCGGAATCGTTATCAGGATTAAAAGTTTTTGGTTCAAAAATTCAGTTGAAATTTCCGCTCCAAGTCTATTGTCTTTCAAATATTATGGAAGACAAATCAAGTTACATGTTGGGAATGTTCCTTTACTTCGCGATGTATCAATTGGTGGGGAGTACGGTGTTCGACTTAAAAATTTTATTGGGCCAGTGAGAACTGAGAAGCTATCTCACTCAGCTGGTGACTCTTGAGTTGCATTTGGACTTGCATAAGGTTGGTAATTTCAATTTCTACGGGTCTGTTTCTAATATAACTGTTAAATGTACTGCCTTATGTTTTGTTCTCTTTTTCAGGATGATGTGCAATTCCCAATATGCGAATTACCTACTCTAAGGCACTTAACCTTTGACATTTCTGGCCCTGGTAGTATAAACCTCCTTGGATTGACTGGCATTATACTCGCATGCCCTTTCTTGCAGAAGTTAACCTTGAAGGTAAATAATTTTATACTATTAACAGATTAAAAAGAAATACAGATAAATGGAAGAAGCAGCTTCTTGATTTCTTAATAATATAATATGCACTCTTCATCTTCTTATTATTTTTCTTTACTTTTATAACAGCACCTATCTTTTATACTTTACTATCATTTGAAAGACATAAGCTAAGCAACTTTACTTCCGTAATCTTTTGAACTTGAATGTATGATAGGGTGACAATAACAGTCATGATATTTAGATGTGGTTAAAAATTGTTTTTAGGCATTATATTGAAAGATCAAGTCGGTTTATAGTTAGTACCATCAAAGATAGGTCCATACACCATTCCTGTTGACAATGGTCTTCGATCTCTCTCTACAGCATTATTGGAAAAGTCTGATGAGTACACTATAGTGGACAGAGGCATAGACATCTCAATGTTAAATCAACTTGAGAGAGTGCTAAGGTCGTAGGAAGTCATAATAAACTGCATTAGCAACAAGAAGATTAGATTTTGGTAGCATTTGAAGGTGTAAGACTGAATATTCATTTCTAGGTTTTGCGGATCATATATCTGCACTATCTTTGATCCCATTTATCATTTATAATCTTAGTCATATTTCGTCTCTTTACTTAAGTATCTTCTAATGTTTCATTCTACCTTGAGTTTCTTGTAGTACTTAATAAAATTATGGCAATAACCCATAGAGTGTGTTGCCTTGGATAATATCAGGATCTTATTGAGCAATAATTCAGTGTGAAATGGTTAAATTTTGATTGTTATATGCTATTAGTTGTAGGTGAAAGGAACGGCTTTAGTGTTTGTTTTCATTTATCTTACTATCTTAAATGTAATCTGGAGTATTGTTACAACTGATACTTTTTGCATAAATTGATCATTTACCTTGTAACAAAGGAATGCAATTTGCTGTATTTCTTCTTTTGGAACTAACAGTGTTTTTGACATGAGGCCGCGATAATATTGAAAATTTTGGAGATCAATTTATTATTATTACTATGGTGATAAAAATTTCTAAATGACATGGTGCTTGCTTTTCTTTCCGCAGTTTGTATATATTGGTTATAGTGGAAGAAGAAAAGTACATGCAATCCCTAAATGCTAGTGACTGGCTCTGTTGGGCTTCCATTTGATCTTGAACTTCCATGTTACCTACTTGACAATGCCGTCAGGCTTGAGAAAATGATTATTAACCCCACCAACCCATTGTCACTGGGAAAATATTGGGAGTATGACGATGACAGGGACAAAGAAATTGCTAGAAAGTATGCCAAGAAGCTAGAAGAAAAGGTACCTCAAGGTGTCGAATTTGTAATCTGTTGACTTTGTAAAGAAGGTTTTCTGTTTCACTATATCGGACTTCATGTTTGTTGATATCATTATTGTGTGAATTACAGAATGTGTATGGAAATGTTTTAAGACAAAAGAGGGAAGTAATGAAAGAATATAAAAGAACATTTGAAGAGGCCTAAATACAACTAACCACTGGATATACAATAAGTAGTGCTATATGACTGCAAAATTTGTTCCCATGTTCATCATCAGAAACCACAATCATCTCATATTACAACACTCAGTCTTTCCCGGATTTTGCAATTTACTCCACAAGCAGATCATCTGCCTCGGAGACTGGTAGTGAGCTGTGTAGTAACCTTCTATGCACCCGAACTGGCAAAACTTCAAACTGTGTAGATAGTCGACCGGTTTTGAGCTGTTGAACTTCTCTACCCACACTCCCATACTCACATCTTCCATCTTAAACAACTGCATACAATAAAAATTTTACTTTAGCATTTGAACTAAAGCATGTACCCACCACCAGCTTCATACACATACATAGCAGATGCATGCCAATTGCCCGCCATTTCACACTCAGAGACAAGAGAAAGAAGAGGATACTTACTCTTAGTTTATGGTTTTCAAAATCGTAGACAATGGATTGTGCAATGTCAGATGACAATATGTAGCCTGGTCCATTTGCATACGGTGGATAATCTTCCTCTGGCCATTCCTGAAAACACCAGCAAATGACAAAGAAATGATGAGGGATTATCAATATCTAAGTTACCTATCTCACAACTTAAAAAGAAAAAGTACAGAATAGTATTAAATGTTGATAGTAAGTTGGACTGTGGAGGAAATGAAGTTTAATATCAATATATTAAAAAAAAAACTAAACAGAACCAAAACTTATCAGATGCCAGAGAACAAATTTGAAAAAATAATTATTAATGATGAACAGAACAGATTCTTCTTTACAAGAGACAAGTCTAGCCCTTCAAAATATTGATTGCAGGAGACAAAAAGAAAGAGGCTTCTGGAATTCTTTGCATTAGCAGAATATAATTGTAAACTGTATTGTATTGAGTTGAAGCCACAAGATGAAGTACGCACAAACACAGAAACCAGACCTGAACTACTCAGTAAGATCAAGGTTAGCAGACCAGACATGTCTATACATACCTCATATTTTACTGCCCATTTACCATGGCGCAAGGGCTTATGGTAGTAGTTAATGTTCCCGATGTACAAGCTTCTGCCTTCAGGTGCCTTCCTTGCTTCATTAATAACTGCATCTACTCGTACAAATGTGTCGTCATCGCACTTCATAATATACTTAGCAGACACTGTGCGAGCCTGTGAGCAACCAAAGCTATCAAATGTCACCTCTGGAAATAATGAAAACTAACTCATCAGTCGGTAATAATAAGAAATTTGAATGTTCACCACGCACCCCATATTCACAGATAGCAACAGTTTTCAACACTACAAGATCATAGTTATCCATTTAAGGAACGATCACAATGTCACCAAAAAATTCTGCTTCTTTCTTCAGCTCCAAATTCACTTCCTTCCTAGCATGCTGTTCACACCCCAAAAATGGAAAGGTAATTAAGGACCTTCAACATGACAATTTTACATGCTAACTAATAATCACTTTCAGTAACCACAGTAAGATGGCTTTCAATTACCAGCGCTACAAAGAAACGAGCTACCACATTTGATGATTTAACAAGTTCATGTTGCATCCAAGACTTTCTCACAGCCATCCTCTCGGCAAAATGATTGCCTGCAGAAAGGATTCCAATAAAAAGTTCCACAGGCCGCTCAGGAATAGTTGGAGCCTGCCATTTGGTTGACATCTCAAGATGTCTTTGAGGAGCAAAACTAGGATGTGAAGTAGGCAAGGAAGCAGCAAATACTGAGACGACATCAATGTCCCCATTCAAAGTTAGCCCAGTGGCATCTTCAAGAGTGAATCCCTGTCAGCATTATCAAACAATCTTAAGAGCAATCAAAATTGATCATGACATAAACAAATTGCAAAATACTACTCACAGTTCGATAAGGAAAGGAGGTGATATGATTCCCACCAACATCAACATGATAACCCTCAAAACCTGCACGAAGTGTCAGTACAAAAAGATTGTCCTCCACAAATGGGAATGGCCATTCAACACCAACAGTCAGTTTGTTCTTTACACCTAGAAACCGATTCATGTTTTCCCACCATTTTAATTTAGAATTTTCAGCAAGATTGTCATTATTTGCGGTCCAGCTCTCGCACTTTACAAGACCATCAACTGCAGCAAGTTTAAAAGAATTAGACAATTTGTTGGTATAAAATAAAATGAATGAAATTCTAAAGAAAACTAAAGGCAAATAGTTACTCTTTCTTCTAGTACATTACATCCTACTTTCAAATTATTCGGCACCATAAAAACTTGAAACCAAATGCAAGTTAAATGATACCCACATGAACAATAAAATCACTACCCAAAAAGAAACTATTAGGTTCACACATTGAAAATTGAACAGATTCCGACGAAGAATTTAACCAGGAAACAGAACTTCATCATAATCAGAAAAAAAATTCAACGAAAAGATAAATTTAATCTTTAAGCTTAAGTCTTTTATAGTCCAAGCATCTGGTTCACAACTCTGAGGATCAATCACTAAAATCCCAGTTCTAGCCATAAAAACAACCTCTATTCACAATTTACATATAGAATCAGCCTAACATAATCCACCCACTACATTCTGGTCCCTAAAATCAATCCATTGTAGCATTTAATGGTTTAAAATCAATTCTTAAACCAAAAAGTAACAGTTTTTTTCCTTACCAGTCTCCTCCTCAGGCCTGGACTTCCATCCCTGGCACCGCAACGCCGACCCCCACTGCATCCTGTAACAAGTGTTCTGCTCAATCACCGGCTTCCCACTCCAATCACCTTTCAGCCTTGGATTAAAATGCAAAATTTTTGGCGGGTCCTCTCCTTCTACAGTCTTCAATCCCTGCAACTCCATCATGAACTGTGAAATCATCACTTCCTCACCATCCTTCGCGAGCGCAATATTCGAGACAGTCTCTGGGTGGGCCCGCCTCGGCTTGCCCACCACCGTAATATATGACCCCAGTGTAAGTCCACACGGCAAAACCATCACATTTCCGTTATTCAAAAACTCTGGCCCGGGTAGTGAAATGGAGTGTGGACACGATTCTGATATGTTTTCAGGTTTTTTGGCTTCGATGTGAACCTTTCCTGATTCGAGTTCTTTCCATAATCTTCTTCCCACTTCATAAGCGGTTCCGGCCGTCTTGTGGAGCTCAGAAGACCCGGATTCACCGGTCGGGTCGAAAGCTTTATTATGAAATGACAAGTTTGAGAGAATTTTGTTTCTGTTGTTTGCCTGAGTGAGTTGTCGAGTCTGAGTCTGACTCTGCGGGTTAGAGTTTTGTGAAACCCAATTCTTCAAAGGACGAGACGGTGCCTTATGGACTTGAAAATCTTGTTCAATGTTGAGTTCACGAGGTCGAGTTATCGGTTCCTGCGAAATAGAAGCTCTGAAAACAAATGGGATTTCGAAACCAACCAAACATAAGTAAAGAAGACCAATAAAGATCAAGACTTGAATCGATCTTAGCTTGCCCATAGAGAAATCCATCTCAAACTTGGAAAGTTTATCTGAAGATTTCAACGGTAACTTGGCAAGTTTTTTCATTTTCATTTCTGACAGAAAAAAAAAACAACAGAAAGTAGAGGTATGAATACTTTTCAAAACTCAAATATAAGAAAACAGAGATTGATTTAAAGAGTTGGGTGAATTGACCAAGACTCCATACAAAAATTCCTGGAAAGAGAGAGGAAAGTGGGGGGAGCCTTTGCTGATTGCTGATGTGTGTCGGTCCAGATTATGAGACAATTTGCCTTTCAAATGGAATGATTTAAATAATATTTCTTTGAAACGGCATAATTTAAGAAGAAGAATGGGAATTGTATTAAACTTTTAAAACTTAACAATATGGTGAAAAATAATGAGAGTTTATCAAAAGTAGAAATGATGTCATGATGATAGCTGCGAGAGTTACTGTTTTAGTATAAGTCAAAAGTCTTTAACGTGTGGTTAAGGGTTGAACTTGGACTTAAACTCATCAACTTTGATTTATCAACGAATTAAAATTGAATATAATGAATACTCTGGTTATGTGCGCCGCCCAGTCAGATTGAAACTTAGGTGTCCAACAGCCAGCCTCTAGAGAATACAGGTGTCGACTTTCATGAGTCTTTGATTTTTCAGTTTTGGTTTTAATAAACAGGGACAACAGTTTGTCATTGGTGTATTTGCTGACCCACTTTCCATTTCGACGTCGATCAAAGAATAAGACATATATATATATATATATATATATATATATTTCCATTTCGACGTCGATCAAATAATATATACACACTAAGGGCTGTTTGGTTGGCAATATCGCCTGGTACGAAAGTTGTATTATTGATTATATCAGTTGTAATTTGAATTCCACTATTTTTTTTAATATTTTAAGAGTAATCTTAATTTTATTATAATTTTATCTTTAATTATTAAAATTTTAGATAATAATACTCTTATTTTAAAAACAATTTACAAAAATATTTATAGACTATTTTATTCTTATAAACACAATTTTCAGAACATAAATACCCTTAAACTTGAAACAATTACAAAAAATTGTTGGTCGGATCTGGCCACTACTTTCGACGACCAGTGACTGTGGCTGGAACAGTGCACAACTAAACAGATTTGGCCAATTGTGCATCAATATGGCCGTTTCCGACCAAACCGTGGATTGGCTGTTAACGACTAAATCGATGGCCGTTTTCAACTAAATCCATAAATCTAGTCGGAAATGGTCAGATTAGTAGCTTGGGTGGCTGGAGTGTTTTTGTTAATTTTTTAATGTTTAATATAAGAGTGTTTTAGCTAAATTCTCAAATATAGGAGGTTAAAAAATAATTTAAATAATAATAATATTTAAAAATGAGGACAATTTAGTAATCTATATAACATACTCACCAATTTATTCATCCCAACAAAATATATCAATATAACATACCCATCAATTTATTTTAATATAACCAAATACATTTAATATAACATTTCAAGTATTCAGGTAATCTATTTTTCCTTTAAGGTAAATTTCCAGTAATACAACATTCTCTGAACCAAACGTATTCTAAGAGATAAATTATAGAAATTATCTCATTTAATAAAGATAGAAGCTAAGTACATCATTCTTCCAACCACTCCTTTGTTTGCCTTTGCTTCAAGTTAATGAAGTAGCTTGATTGAGGGTAGTATTAATTAACACTAACAAATACCATTATTAGATTATGGACCCTTTTGAATTTAATTCACATTGTAACTGTAGTTTAGCCGATTAAAAAAGGCCGAACGACTTGTGCATACCCAAAGTTTACCGTAACGACAAGTTGATACCCAAAAGGTTTTGAAACGACAAATAGGTACCTTCCGTCATGTTCTGTTAGTGATTTTTGTTTATGAATAGTGAAAAGACTAAAATGCCCTTCAAAGTTTCAATTTTAGTTTTTTAAAAATTTCTAAAAAACCCCCTAGGTTTGCTAATTTAATTAAACACCCCCATATATAAAAAGTTTATTAAATGACAAAAACACCCCCACCACCCCTAGTGCCAGATTCCGGCCACCATCGCCGGAATCTGGCCGGAAAATTGCATTACGACACAGATCCGTCAGATCTGTGTCGTAACATGCCGATCTTGCCTTTTCCGGTCAGATCCGCCACGGATCTGGCCGGAAAAGGCAAGATCTAGCCGTCGAAGCAGCAGCCAGATCTGGCCGTCAACGCTGCAGATGGAGTTTTGCGACGTCGACGGCCAGATCTAGCCGTAGATCTGGTCTTTTCTGGCCAGATCAGCCACGGATCTGGCCGGAAAAGGCCAGATCGACGCGTTATGACACAGATCCGACGGGTCTGTGTCGTAACGCAACTTTCCGGCCAGATTCCGGCGCTGGTGGCCGGAATCTGGCACTTGCGGGTGGGGGGTGTTTTGTTATTTTATAAAATTTTTATATATTGGGGTATTTTGTTAAATTTGTAAACTTAGGGGTTTTTTAGAAATTTTTAAATTTATAAAAACTAAAATTCAAACTTTTAAGGGCATTTTAGTCTTTTCACTATTAATAAACAGTAATAAACAGAAATTACTAACAGAACATGACGGAAAGTACCTATTTGTCATTTCAAAACTTTTTGGGTATCAACTTGTCGTTACGATAAACTTTGGGTATGTGTAAGTCGTTCTCCCATTAAAAAATTTATGAATAGGTCAGAAATTGAAGTTGGGTCGGCTTTGGAAAGTTTTGGATTAGTTGTTTGCCACATGTTGTATCTTCTCTCCATAAGACAACAGTTTACAAATGAAAGCAAGAGAAATGTTATTGGTAAATTGTTTTCAAATATCACAATCATAAATTTGTATTTGGTGTAATATTCAATGGCAAAATAATTTAAGTGGCTGACTATATAGTATATACCGTGCCCACTAAGACAAGTAATAAATATATGTGGTGATATTTATACCACCTTTAAGCTAATGTTTTCTTTGGTGATGGGTAATGGAGGCAATTCATGAATCACACTAATCTGAATGTCCACCCACAAAAAATAAAATAGTTGAAAGACAAACAATAAAGGGAATCTGATTCTAGTGAAAAATCACCAACCTTTAATATGTCATCTCTTGAAAAGATAACCTTAGGTCATCTCTTGAAAGGATTGCCTTAGGCCCGGCTCAAGCCCATATACTACACATTCAAATTGCAATTCATAGAGCCATTAATTTGAAAACATTTTTTTTTTTTAATCATCGGATGTTCAGATTAGTTTACATACTTCTCAACTAATTTTTCAAAACTTAAAAACTGTCAGCTGAATAAGAGCTCTTATGACCACCTCTATTAGTGTCTAGTGTCACATTCCAGGGGAAGGGAGTGTTTTGGGTTTATAAAAGATGAGTCTCTCCACCTAATAGGTTAGTCTTCTTCCAAGTCCATATATCTACACATTCAAATTGCAATCCATAGAGCCATTAATTTGAAAACATCATTCTTTTTTTATCACCAGGGTGTCCAGGTTAGTTTATATACTCCTCAACTAATCTTCCGAGGTTTTAGAACTATCAGCTGGATAAGAGCTCTTATAACCACTTCTATTAGTGCCTAGTGTCACATGGAGGGGGTTGGGATTGGGGTTGGGGTTGTCTTGGGTTTATAAAGGATGACTCTTTTATCCTAATAGGTTAGTCTTCTTTTAACCCGTGACACTAGAGAGCTTGAACTCAAGAGCTCATAAATCTTTTTTTTTTTTTTTTTTTTTTACTTTTTTACTATCAGACCACCTGATAGTTACAACATCATCTTAACTGCTCTATGACATCAGTTTGCTTAGTTATATCTTTTTACTTCTTTAAAATAGTACTCTCATCCAACTTGTGAATATCAGCAACTTAATAAACTGAATTCATTTCCTTTTACACAAATGAATTAATCAAATATTTGTAATGAATAATTAACTTATAATTTCTATACATTTAACCCAGAAATTCACCAGATTTGAACCTGACTGCAAACGCTCTTGGAGCCAATTGTGAATGAGAGAGAGAAGAACAATACAATACCCGGCCCTCTTAATCAAATTACATCTNGAATTTTTTCACTCTATACTAATTTGACATTTTATTCCTAGTCTATTCTATCTTTTCTTTGTCTCAAATGCCATATTGAATTATTACGATAAAATGGACTTGTTTTCAATACTCTTACTGTTTTCAGATTGCTTTACTCAAAAAAGTAATTCAATCTTTTGATGATTAGGGTTTTACAAAAATAGCTATGATTGAGGTGTTTCTGAAATTCTCAGTTGTGATCATATTAAATTTTTTAGCGTGTAAATTAAAGGTAAATCGACTAGTTATTATGATGATGGTGGTTATAACGTCATCTTAATTGCTCCATGTCATCTATTCATTTAGTTATATATTTTTACTCCTTTAACATGAGTATAGATCGTAACACACCGAATTGTAACACTATTTATACACACCAATTTGGTATGATACTATTCATCCACCATAAAACATATTTTTATTTTTTATGGCATTTTATATTAGATGTAATTTTTTTATATTAAATCTAAATGTTTATTTGATTTTATAAATACTTAATTTGATTAAATTAGTATAATTTTCAAAGTTATTATTAATTAATAAAATATATTATTCCCAATATTTAATTAATATATACAAAACTAATTACTAAAATAAATCAATTATTAAGAATTAATAGAAAGAAAAAGAAAGAAAATATTCTTTTTAGTGTAATAGATTGGAGGTACAATAGTAAAATAGTGTGAAAGTTACACTAATTTGGTGTGAAAGTTGCACCAATTTGGTGTTTGGAAATAGTCTAAAATAGTTACTCTCATCCAACTCGTGACTATCAGCAACTTAATAAACTGAATTCATTTCCTTTTACACAAATGAATTAATCAAATAATTGGAATGAATAATTAACTTATAATTTCTCTACATTTAATTTAACCAAGAAATTCACCAGATTTGAACCTGACTGCATGCAGACGCTCTTGGCGCCAATGGTGAATGAGAGACAGAAGAACAATACAATACCCTCTTAATCAAATTACATCTCAAACGCCAAGACCCCATTAATCCATCATGCAATTCTAGTTTAATGCCATGCTTTTCTTGCTTTCCTACTTGTTAAACCTTTAAACCCACTTCATTCATTCCTCCTCTCAAAGATCATTTCCAAACAAAGTTTCAACTTCTATATTCTTTACTTTTTTATTATTGCTTCATCCCATTTCAACATATTTTTGTATCAAACGGATAAGATGGGGAGGTCTCCTTGTTGTGATAAGCTGAATATCAAAAGGGGAATTTGGACTGCTGAGGAAGATGCAAAGATACTTTCATATGTGTCAAAACATGGAGCTCGAAACTGGACATCTGTTCCCAAAAAAGCAGGTTGATTAATTTGGAGGTTCTGTAATGTTGAAATTATTTCATGGTTTTGCAATTATAAGACTTACCATTTTTGGTTTTTTTTCTGTCAACTTCAATGCCATGAATGAGCGTGTTCTCCAGGACTTAGCAGATGCGGAAAGAGTTGCAGACTTAGGTGGACTAATTATCTCAGGCCAGATCTTAAAAAAAAAACCTTCACACTCCAAGAAGAGGAGTTGATCGTTAGGCTTCATGCAGCCATCGGTAGCAGGTCAGTCGGTTCATGTTCCCTCCCCACTCACCACTTCAATGTTTAACTGTTCTTTTCTTTTGATTTCTATAGACCATTTGATTTGTTTTTAATTTTACTCTGCCAATTAAGAATCTCTCAGTTTACACATATGTTTACCAAACATCTTGATGACTAGGGTGGTCCAGGTGGTCGGTCATAGCCCAACAACTTCCGGGGAGAACAGACAATGATGTGAAGAATTACTGGAACACGAAGGTCAGAAAGAAGCTCTCTCAAATGGGGATAGATCCTGTCACGCATAAACCTTTCTCTCAAATTCTGGCTGATTATGGAAACATTGGTGGACTCACAAAATCTGGAAACCGAATTGGGTCTCTCAATAGAGATATGAAAAATGCATTCATGTCAAAATCTGAACAATAACAAACACCACAACCTCAAGCGTTTTCAAGCATTAACACTAGTCATTTGATGACAACAAGGATACCACCAAAAGTGGAGCCAATAGCAGAAGAATATCACAACCATAAAAGTATCACATCCCAGTTCTTAAATGAAGGCACATTGTCATCACCATCTTCTTCATCCTCAACTTGTTCCCCAGCGGCACAGGATAAGAAGTCACAAGATTTTAGTTGGCAAGATTTTCTTCTTGAAGATGCACTTTTATCTGCAAATCGACAAGTACAAGACAGCACACTGGAGTTTTCATCGAAGGACTTCCCTAATAACTCTCATAATGTGACACCACGAAGTCAGATCAACAATGAGAATAATATACAAATCAATAATGGAGTTAAGAGAATGGATTTTAGAGGTCCAATCTATGGATTTCCTGCTTCATCATTCACTAACATTTCATTTGTGGAAGCTATGATACACCGACAAAATGAGATGTTCTGGGATTTTCCTGATCTTATGGAGGAACCCTTGTATAATTGATCACTTTTTTTTTTTTTTTTTCCTGTTCCCTAGTTTACTACTGAAATAAATAGAGATTTGTAGCAAGACCCTTTTTTAAGAATTACTAGAGTTGCATCAGCAAATATTAATGTTACGAATATGTGGTTTTATATTAGTTTGTCCAAAACTTTCATTTTAAATGATGTGTTATTCTATCTCGTATGTAGATAAATTGATAATTTCTAAATGATACAATAATGTCAAATAAGAATGTGTGATCAAAATTTCATTTTAAAATACTTTTATATTAAGTGTTAAATACAAGATTAGTCATACTTGAAATAGGTTAATTAATAAATAGACCGGACGACATCCTCCGACACAAACTTAATTTGCCTTAAAGACAATTTAGTATCAAAATAGTTTTGAAACGACAAACAAGCACTTTCCATTAGAATCTGTTAGCAAAATCTGTTTGAAGAAGGACATGTGGGTAATTTTAATGCAGCCAAAAAATAGTATTTTCAATTTTCACAATTAATTTTAATTAAAATTCCTGAATCTACCCATAGAACACAGCTAGAACTTTGGCATTCATAATTCCCTAAGGGTCTGCTTGGGAGTTTTATAATAACGATTATGAGAGTAAACCATCGTAGTGGTTTTGAGGGTAAACCACCGTAACGGTTTTGAGGAGTTTTTAGTAGCGGTTTTAAAAACACCCAACCTGCGCTTGAGAGTTTATTTTCCAGTGGTTCCAACAGTTTTTTAAAATAATAAATTTACTTATATGCCTATAAAAATACCCTAACTTCAACCAGTATTTGAGAGTTTCTTTTTCAATTACCAGTACTTGCTATCAAAGTTCCTTATAAGTTTACTAACTCTTCAGCCTTCATGTAATTAATTCAAATGCATACATCTTTTGCCTTATTTATTGATGACTAGAATGATTCTCGATTATGGAAGTTTAACTTCAATTTCATATGTCTTTGTGCAAATATTTTGTGGTAGCATTATCGATTGCTTTGTTTAGGGAAAGTTCTGTCGACAAGTAGGAAGCGCGTCCGCGGTCGCATTGGTTGCTTCCATTCTGCTTATTTTGCTCTACAACAGCCTCCTTTACAAAAGGGTCGCTACAGTTTGTGTGTTAATTTAATTATATGTTCTGTGTATTTATGTATGTCCAGGGTTCATTGAACGGTATTTAATTTATTCGTAAGTTCTTTCATTGTATGTTATTTAATTTATTTGTAAGTTCTCACTTAAGTATGTAATTTAGTTGATGACATTCGTTATGCTGACACTATTAGCATACTTGGTAATTAGACTTCCACTCAACCACTAGATTTGCTGAAAATATATGAAAAAGAAGTCGAGTTCAAATAAAGTAATTGTTATAAAAACTATGCTCCTCCTAGAACCAAGATCAAATCATATGACTTCTTTCCTTGTGTAATTAAACTTGCCAATCTGTGATGTACGAGAGTGTATGGGAAACAATACACAACCAAGATCATTCATTTAGATCTAAGGAATGAGAGGATTTAAACTTAGGAAGGTAAAACCATTTCAACACAACCATGGAGGCAGTAGTACCATTAACTACAATCTCTGCAATAAATCAGCAAGTGAACTGTTGAAAGCACAAAAACTCTTCAGATAAGCCTCCTGTGATTGATAATTTAATTTTTCATCTAAAATTCAATTAATTGGACTTTAGTTTAAATTAGGCAGGTAATGAAGCTAATGACCAAGTGATAAAGAAATAAAGAATCTATCTGTGGCATGAACTGTTGAAAGCACAAAAACTGTTGGACTTCATTACTCCACACAGATCTAGACAATGGTCATATATCAACTTAAGACATATCAAAACACACCACCTAACAGTAAAGTATGCTGGTTGAATTATAGGTTACATTGGTGGAATAGAAGACAGCTCAACGTTATTTCACAACATCAAATCCTTATTTACTCATAAGTCCATTACCAAATGAGCATTCTGCATTAGATAAAAACAAAATTAATTAGGATGTGCATCAACTAAATCAGAAAACCACTTCTTAAGTTTCTTCAAGCCAAACAATCAAAAAAACTAGCAGCTATTGTGGGATTTACCTTGGTAAAGGAATTAAGTTGCTACATTTTCAAGCATTTTCATTAAGATACTCTTGCGGCGATGTGTTGGAAACGAGTAAAATACACGCAGCTTCATGGGATTTTCAAGAAGGAAAGTCTGAGCATGTACCAACTCATCATCATCTTCTATCCCAATCTCAACTAAATCGTCCAACAATTCATTGTCTTTCAAAGAAGACTTATTAGCACACAACAGTAACACATCACCTAAGTAAAGTTTTGCCCTATCCACTGCACTAATAACCTCCTTTATAGGATTGTTGTCCTCTTTGACTCTGCATCTATTCTTCAACTTGCATGATGTAACTTCGGATTGACAACCTAAAGAAGTCAAGTCAGTCTCACTTCCTTTAACAGTGACAACATTCAATGAAGCTTGATTTTATGCTACCATGTTATCAATGTCCTCAACTGAAGTAGGGCATTCTACATTGTTGTGAGATAAATGAGCTATTTTTCTCTTCATCTCCCTAGGGGTGTCACCATCTTCCCCATTCGCCCTATCTTTTGCAAAAAGCTCACATAACTTGTCGTAGTTATATACAGGCTTGCTCCTCCATTCAACAGCACTAGGATTTGACTATATAAAAATACACACATGGTAAGTAACAATATAATTTCTCCAACAAGCATATTTAAATTGTATGTAAACAATTAAACATGAGCCCACCTAGATAAGTTTGTCCTACACTTCTGGTTCAGCATGCCATGTCGAAGTAGTTCCATCCTTAAAAATATCATGACAATATGCCCATGATTTCTTCATAAATTTCATGTGATTTTGGATCTTTTCTTTCCCCCATACGATATTTGGAAACTCTTTCTTCATTGTTTGCAATATTGTCATGGGCTTGTGATGTGAAGGTCCCTCCCATTCTATTTCCTTGCACATGCTCATGCAAGTAGGCATCGATGAGAATATCATCCATTGATTGCGTCTAGCGCATATTTGATTCTTTCTTCACCTTGTGAGGCATCACTTTCCCGTAAGGAATAGTTATCCAAAAAAGAAAAAGTTTACAAACAAACATAATTTATATTAGGATTACGAATACAATACAAATGATCCAACTTATTATAAAAGCAATAATATCAAGTCACTACACCACATCACACCACTTAATGTTAACAAAAACAAAAAAAACAAAAAAAAAAAAAAGTACATTGAAAAAGTTCAACACAAATGTAATTGGCATTCAATGCTGGTTCAAATGATGTGCTTCCCACATTGCATTTGCTACTGAGTTTTGAATTAACTCTCCTTTTCTTGTATCTTCGTGATTATCTAAATTATGCTCATGGTTTGTATGCTCTATAGGTTCCCTAGCCATTTCCACATCAACCTCGGCAATGAGACCTTCATCCGGATCCACTCCCATTAGAAAATTATGAACTATGCAACAAGCAGACACAATTAGTTTTAGTGTTTGAATGTTGTACATCGGCTCAGTCCCACTTCCAATAATGGGGAAGCGTTTCTTGAGTACTGTAATATCCCACTTGAGGTACGTATTTAAGATTTGTTGTATTAGTTAAAAGTTTATTGTTTCAACTTTAATTGAGTTTGTATGTTGAAATTGGTTGAGTTTTGGTGAAGTTGGAAATCCAATCTTCGCCGGGGCGAAGAAGAAGCTTCGCCGCGGCGAGGAGGAGGGGTTGCACCCACGGGTAGGTTCTGCCCTGTTTCACCGGGGCGACGCAAAGTTCTTCGCCGCGGCGACGAGCCTAAGACAAGTTTCTTGAGTTTTCTAGATAATTCTTCTTTTGGGGCCAATGACCATTCTACCCCTAATTAGTAGGAAAGTAGGAGTAAAATGAAAGGAAATTTAGTAGAGATTGTGTTTGGATGGGGTGTATTTGTAAGAATCAAAGGATATAGATGGAATTTCAAGGAAGAGCAAGGGCAAAATGGGAAAAGATGCTTATAATATGAACTAAAAAGGGTTAAGTGTAAGAAACCCTTTACTCTTCATTCCACCGCCTCTTCCATTTGCCCATTTTCTCTCAATTTCTCCACAATCTTCCAAGATTTCTAAGGGATTTAAGAGGGGTTTTGAGTAGAGATTTCATCTAAAGCACTAAGGTTTGGATTCATGCTTTGGTGTGAGTTTTCTTATAATGTAGTGAAATCTTATTTGTTATTGCTGTCCTGTGGTTGTTTTGAGTTGTAGAGAGGAGGCAGACCACAAGGGAAGGAAAAGTGCTAAAGAATCATCTTTGCACAAATAAGTAATCCAACCAACTTGAGTTTTAAACAAGCTTTTTGTGTAGAGATGTATGCATGATCGTATGTAGTATGATTATGAGAAAATTGAATTGAGATGAGTAGCTATTTTTGTAGTTGTTGGATAGATTCCATGTATGAGAAGTGTTTTAATGTTTATGGAGAATGGAAATTGAGATGAAGTTTGTGAGATGTTGTGTGAAGCTTTTTGGGAGGCTTTTCTTGACAGGGAATTGTGGTTGTTAAGGGAGTTTTCCCCCATTTTGGATGGCTAGAGAATGAAGTATAGCAGTAATTGTAGTAGAGTGTTTCTATGCACAGAGTTATTTGATGAAATGCCTAAGTGAAATCTGCCCTGTCACTGCCTAAATTTCTAAGTAATTTTTGGGCATTGTACGGTTTGAACTGGGCTGAGACCAAAACATCAAAGATGTAGCCCTGTTTCTAAGCTTAAAACGAGACCAAAACCGTAGTAATCAGAATGTATAACGAAAGTTATGGTCTTTTTAGTGTGACCTGTACAGAATGACAGTTTTGAGGAAATCTTGTAGTTGGCATTTCATTAGTGCATTAGGGAGCATGAGCTAGCTCTACACCTTTGTTTACACTTGAGAAGTAGCTTGAGATTTAGTAGAGAATTTGAGTATAAGCTACTTTAAGAGTTAGAGAAAGA